CAAAGGAAAATCCAGTACAATGTTCTGCTTTAGTTTCTTATCCTTTATAAAACATCACCAGCTGGTGACTGGTACATGCATGAGGAAAAAAAGAACTTTTGTTTTTAAAATTACTTTATTTCTTCTGAGAACTTTGAAATACTACGTAAATATGATTTTGAAAATAATGCAAAAAGATTAAAAAATGTTTTTCAACTGTTAGAAATGGTAAAATGTAGGAAATTTGCCAACGATCTTCATAATCTTTGAGAGATGTTTGAATTAGCTACCTTTTTGGATTTCCTGTCTCTAGATCCACTATAAAGCTATATTATTCACAAAGGTTTCCAAAATTTGTCATCCAGTGGCGGTGGATATCTCCTGATAAACCTTAAAAGAAGGGTTGTATCTAATCCTATGGTAACTGGGAGAGAGCGGTTCTGTTCCTAATGAATTCCCCACCGTAATGACACCTGGACACACCTGTTGAAGAACTTTGCTCCACGGACACCTCCTGGTCTGAAACATCTGGCTTATTCTGGGCTCTGCTGCCTCACTTGGGGGAATGCGCACTGAGAGGTGCACATTGACAACTGACAGAAAGAAAGTGCATCAGACATACCAGCAGATATTAGGTGTGGTGAAAGATAAGCTTCCAAAGATACATTCTATGATTTTCCTTTGCTCATAAGCCTGCAAAGTAGCACATACTCATATAACACAAGAGAAATAAGTGTTGTGGTGTTGAAGGCATAAAGCTGTTACACGGATGTGACTCTCATAGTCCTGTCAGCTTTGTTTCTTTCTGGAAACCATGCCTGATTAGCCTCATTTTGCTGTGGTAGTGATTTTATGATTTGTTAAGGAGATCTTTGAATAGAAAAGGTAAACAGAGAACTGGTACTCAGCTTTCTGGTTTACTTCTATATGAAGATTAAATGTCATTTGGCTCACTGGGATTGTGCTCTGAATTAATTGGCTTTGGCTCTAAATGAACTAGGAGTTGGGGTCAAGGACATACACACCCATCCTACTGACTATGGGCTGGGAGCTGGGATTCACCTTTCATAGGTGAAGTCTATAGGATCACGGACTTCAGAGTTGGAAGGGGCCTTTGAGACCAAAACTCTTCATTTTTAAAATGAGAAGATGAGAGTTTCAATTACTTGCCCAAGTCACGCAGGTAGGTCATTGCAGTGTGCTAACTCCATCTGTTAACATCTGCCCAGTCTGCTTGCTGCTTCTCAAGTGATTGATGAATGCTAAACCATCCAAAATGATATAATCATCTGAAATTTTATCAATCTGATATTCATCTATCTTGGCAAATAACCTCTCGAATGCTAAACCATCCAAGATGATATAATCATCTGAAATTTTATCAATCTGATATTCATCTATCTTGGCAAATAACCTCTCTTAAAATGTGGATATTCTAGGGAGAGTTAATGCCATAGTTGCTAAGGCTTAGTGTGAGTGAGTTTAATAAAACTGCCTTTCAACTAACACCAACTGAAATGAGCCCACCGAATGAGTGTTTTGTGGTGGCAGGAGAAATAATTGTGGGTAACTGCTTAGGAGGAGGCAGCAGACCATAGAAGACTGATGGTGTGGGGAGAGAGCCTGAGGGTGTGTCAAGAAAAGGGATGTAAGATATGGACGTGAGAAGGCAATAAAAATGAACTTGGGTCCTTGCAGTTTTGCTGAGGTTAGACTGGAAGTGCCATTGTCATGGGTGAAGGGCAACGTCCTTGTTTACAGTTACTGAATGCTGAAGAGAAGCAAGGTGTTGCTTTAGTGTTGTGGTAATAGTTCATGTAACTTCCCCCTACTAGTTGTATATAATAGTCTATTCTTACCAAGTTTTTCAAATGTTTTAAAATTGTTAAGTGAGAGCTAAAAATAGCTTTGTACTTGAGTAATGCCTTGAAAATTAAATACACCTACTTAGGATACCAGATGAAAATAGAATCTTAATAGCAGCCTCACTGCTTGTTCTCAGTAATTATCTTTTATTTTAGGGCCTCATGTTGAAGATTACGGGAATGCTGGTTTTATTCGGTATATTCATGCAACAGTACAGGAACCATCTGCGGCAATGAAATTAGCAAAGTCAAATTGTGTGTTCTTTAGGGACCCATTTAAAAAATCATTAGCCAAAGACAGATTGACAACACACTTCAAACAATTTTATGACTCTTGTCATGGGAATGTTATTTAGAGTAGTCTGAATTCATATGCATCTTGTTTTAGGTCTGCAAAGCTCATAGGAATTTTAATCCTATTAACTAGAGAATATCTATTAAAATAGTCTGATCATTAGAATTTCTTAGTGGTATGCCCTGTGAATTTGGATGTAAAGGCCCCACATTTTATCAAATAAAGTTAATCGGCAGTTACAAAATATCTTACAGCTATAGGGTTTACCAAATACTATATGGAAATACCAAAAAATTTTAAAAAATAATTACTTAACTTGATTAAATATCTTCCTTTCTGTGATGCTTATTTTTAACACTTAGAACTTAGTAGTAAATGTGGTAGCAAATCTTTACATTCTTTTTTTGAGCTGAAAAGGACTTGGTCCTGGTAGGGTTCTTGCTAATGTCATTAAACAAGTGACAGATGAAGTAAAACTTGGCACAAATTGGAGAACCAAGAGGACCAGATGTGAGTGGGTCCAAGAGCTACTGCTGAGTGGAGGGCAGGGATGCATAGACACGCGTGGACCTACACCCAACCCCACGTCACTGGGGTTACCGAGGTGTCGGTGGGGTGCTTGTGCACCCACACAGTTTATGATCTCCCTGAAGGGCAGCGAGGGGGCGAAGTTAGCGTCCTCCATTTGTATAGGGAGACACTGAGGTACCAACAGGTTAGATAACCCAAGGGGAGCCTGGATTCAGACACTCTCTGGTGGAAGAGAATCCAGTCTTTTAACTACTAAGTAGACTATACTCTCAAAGAAAGGGTTATTCCTGCTGTTTTGATTTGCTGTAATTTTGAGGTGCCACATATTAACAAACTGGTCATTCCTCACAAATTGCCAGTTTCCCAGTGAAACAGTTGTGAGCTTTCAGTAGGCTTCTTTATAGACATGGAATGTGAATAATTATACTAGCTTATGGTTTCATTAACATAACTTCTGCAAACTTTAATTGTGCCTGTTCATGTTCTAGGTGGAACTTTCTATTATAGTTAATAAATTTATTAGAGTCCACAGCATCTGTGTGAATTGCTGGAGCCATATGGCTGGAGCAATATTGGAGCAGACTGCAGTCCAGATTAATATCATGCTGATACCTAGGGGTCACACCAAGTTAAATGAAACATCTTGAGGTCATCACATCTCAGTGTGGAATTGTTTATTTACTTATCCATGTACACAGGCTTTCAAGACTTGACTATCATTTACATGAAAATTGGTATCAGTAAAGACGATTAGAGAAAATCAACAAATCAATCTCAGTGGTAGTAAGGCACACCTGAAAATGTAATGGATTTGTAGTTTTTAAGAATGGAAAGGGATAAGATTTTCCCCATTAATAACAATAAAGAGTTGGCTATTTAACCATGTCCCTGCTTAGTTTGTTACTGGCATTACAAATATAAAATGAAATTGTTTTTCTCAGTTATTGTGTCATTATTCTTTAGGGAGGGTGTTTCCCAAAGTGAGATTCTTGAGCCCCTTTGGGTGGCTTGTGAGTTAGAATAATGTTTGTAAGATTTGACTATTTACTTTTCTCCTGGCATGAACCAAATCTTTACTGATACAGTTATTTGGAGATGAGTTCATTGATGTCTCATCTTCATGTATGTTCGATGAGAGTATTTTTGGCAGTTAAGTAGATAAGGAAAAGTAGTCCCCAGTGTGTCAGTGCTTCTACAGATGTACAGAACTACCAACTCTAGGACAAGGCAAATACCTTAGGAGAAGTGCACAGCTGTCCAGTATTGGCTTAGAACGTGATGGCTTTCTCACAAAGTGATACTTTTGATGTAGGTGTAACTGAGAAGGTGGGAAAAAAGGTATGTGTGCGTGCAAGCACACTGACACACACACACAGTCCTTTTGCTTAAGGATGCTTAATACCTAACAAGTAATAAAAAATATTTTCCTTTCAAAGAGATGCTTTGGCACAACTACCACCTAGAAAGAAACTGGGCATGGGAGTAGAAGAGAAGCAGAAAGAAAGAATGAAATGAAAACCTACTGATAAAGCATTTTTGCATAAGTACATATGTAAAATTTACCAGATTCCTGGTTTCTCATTTCATGGAAATTTCATCTGTGGAAACCAAGTTCAGAACTCCCACTATAAGCACGTCAGTGGCACTCTCAGCTCTCCAAGTGTTCCTCAATTCCTTCCCTCGTTGCCACCTAGAGGGAAAATTCTTTGTTCTAATTTGCATTTGGTTGCTATACAAATTATGCTGTGTATATTTCAGCATTTATTTTCCTGGCATATTAGGATCACCTGATTAAGGGAGAGAAAATGCAGGTGAACAGCAAAAGGAAAGATACCGCAGTAGTACTTCTCCTAGGACCACTGGAGAGCCCATTCCTTCAATGACCCAGTCCATCCTTACAAGTAGAAACTTCAATTTGGAAGGCTTCGTGACTAAAACTGATAGAGGGTTTTGGCCTAACATGTATTTTTTTATACCTACAAATGGATATGTTTCAATGCTTCGATGTGTCACTGCTGCTTAAAATTTTTGTTTTTAAATGATCAAAGTTTAATTAGTGGAAAGTTTTAAATCTTGAGTTTTAAATCCAGTAGGAAACCTCACACTCAATTTTTCACTCTTAGTAGGAGGATTTTCTTAAGGCATGAGGTATATAAAAGGACGTTGGAATCTCTGGATCTGTACTGGTGTTTTATCATACTCAAAGCACTTGGAATGTATGCATTTCGTTTAGATGAGTATATACACAATTTTCTCTACGCTACTGGAACAACTCACGACATTTTTTTTACAATAGGCGATGAATCAGCACAATTGAAAGCATCTAAACACCATCTAAAGTGATGTTTCAGTTAGTTGTCTACGATTTTTCTTTTCCAAGTAAAGAATGTCTTTCTCCATGCTGAATTATTACAAATAACTCCTTTATTTCTGTTCCCTCTCCCCTTAAATGTTTCAAGTCCACATCAACAAGGAAGGAAACTTCTATGACTCCAGCTATGAAACACGTAAGCAGCTACTTCTGACTACATTGAGGCAGAGCACACACAACTGAGAAGAAGCATAAGGAAATATACAAGAACCATGCATAAAAACCTTATGCGGCCAAGGCCAAGGCTGGGCCTCGTAGGTATCACTCATTTTAATGATATTATCTTCTTTTGAAAGTATAGGATGAACCCATGCTCAAAACCTTTCTAAAGCATTTTGAAAATACAGCTCTGTATGTGGCACTTCAAGACAAGTTGGCACAAGATGAAGAGTGACATTTGGTCTCTGGTCTGTGGAGGAGCTCAGGGCTCCTTAAGGAAGGGAAGTGAGTGCCTGCGGGCTCAGGGCCCCGGCTGGTTTATGCTATTCTTATTTTTCAGCATAGTGTCCTCGTAATGACTAGCTCCGGGGGCGGTGGTGGCCTCTAAAGGTAAGCCCTGCTGCTGGTAGCCGTAGTTGACGTTCCCGCAGGGGAAGTGGCGCAGCCTGAACAGGGGCACCTCCTTCATGCTGGCTGTCAGCGAGGACGGCTCCAGGAGCAGCGAGGCCCCCGCAAGTCTCCCGGTGGCAACGTTGGGTGGGACAGTACAGCTCCCCTCACGTCCCAAGTCTCCCCTCTCCTGTTGCTCCTTCTTGGCCGGAGGATTGTTCTTTTTGGTGGGTTTCTCTGTAAACCAGGAGCCATAAGTTGGGTTCCACAAGCTGGTCGGTTTGTTTCTGGATCCCTGGACCTTGTGCAGCTCCGATGGTGGGTTGGACTGAGAAAATGCCATATTAATATGTCCCCCCTCCACGGCCGGTCCTCTGGGGACTCGGACAGAGACCTCTGCAGCTGTGGCTTTCTTCAGGGCTTTGCCGGAGGAAGTGGTGGGCAGAGGAGGGGGTGCGGCCGGGCTGTGCGCTGCCTCCTGCTTTACCTGCTGGGGAGAGACCAGGAGAGGAGCAATCCCCTCAGGGTCTTTGGGCCTCATGGGCACTTTCTCTTCCTCTTCCATGAGTGGGCCGTATTCTATCGGTAAGGCAGTGTTGATTACATCAGGGTCCTATGGGTAGGAGAAATGAACTGGTTAAAACTGAGTCACAGACAAAAAATGTTGGATCTGGAAGATATCTTAGAGATGATGTTATCTAAACTCATTTCACAGACAGGGACCCCATTTAGAATTTATTAGCTTAGAGGCACTGGGGAATAAGAAATGAATGGGAACTCGTTCTTACCCTTGAAGACCTTAGAGGATAAGCTCTATAATGGAAGTGTGTACAGACTGCTAGGAGAAGGTGCTGGGACACACCCAGTGCCCAGGACAGGGGAGTGGGATCAGGAAAGGCTTTGCAGAGGAGGAGACCTTTGGCCAGATTTAACAGATTAATGGATAAAAAAATATTATAAATTATTTTTTTGTTATTTCAGTCCATTCCCAATAAAATCCTTCCGACTGAAAAAAAAAGTTTATGTGTTTGACTTTAAGTGTGTGGGGGGCTGGGAGGGGTGAGGAAGGGAAAGACGCATCCCCATATTGGCTCACAAGGTTTATTTTTTTGTTCTTTTCCTAACTACCCCCCCCCCATTTCCATCATATTTGGATGGATTACACTTGATTATGACTTTTTCTGTGTTGTATCACCACACGTGCAGATACCATAATGTTCTTTACTAGTTTGGATGTGATGGGACCTTTGTGGAACCCAGGAAATGCAGAAGTGCTATGAGGCAAACCACTGGCAAAAACAACCTTGTGCTCGATCCTTTTTACAGTGATAGATTGTAGCATAGAAAAGCATGAACAGTTGCCAGAGGTTTAAGGAAAATTTGTGGAATAAAACTTAAATTTGGGGAAATTCAGTTCATTGATATTTTACACAAATTGGGAATAGACCCCCATTACTTGAGTTTAGCAGAAAAACTAGTCTAGTATTCATTAGTAAAACAGTTTAAGAATTAAAAAATAACTAATTCTGATTTTTTATTCTTTAGTTCCCTCTCTGTTTATTATTAATTTCCACAGTGAGTCATTTAAAATATGCTTATGTAAAACTGCCTGCTCTTACATACTTTGAGAAAGGTACTCCGAAGAAGGCATATGTATTTAAGTGGGTGTATTCCATTCTTATTACAACATAATAACCTAAAATGTCATTAAACAAAGGCCTGTGAAAGAACCTCCAATAACTTGTTAAATGAAGTCCTTCTAGATGAAAATGCCATTTCACCTAGCAGAGCTGAAAGGCCTGTGAGGATGGAATAGGGAGGCTAGAAAACAACTATATTTTGGAAAACGTGTCTGTCTTGTCACAATTAAGAGGAGTAAATTCAGAGAGGTAGTGGTTCATTGTGCAACTCTTCCAAAATATTCTCAGAATCAGATATCCTGGCAGAATGAGAGCCAAAATAGAGGGAAAGAAAGCAGATTCAGGGAAGAGAGGAGCGTAGTGGTTCATTGTGCAACTCTTCCAAAATATTCTCAGAATCATATATCCTGGCAGAATGAGAGCCAAAATAGAGGGAAAGAAAGCAGATTCAGGGAAGAGAGGAGATAACCTGGCAGAACAAAGTCCCTGATGGGGCAGCTGGTAGAGGGGCTGGCCCCAAAGGGGAGGAGGGGCATGGCAGGAAGGTGGGGGAGGCTGCAGAGGCAGGTAAGTCTGTACGAGAGACGGGGAGGAAACGGAGGGCATTCTCACTTGATAGCCCCTACACACTTGACGGGGTAGGATGCATAGTTGTCTGCTGAGAGTGAAAACTTAGAGTTATTGCTGAAGGAAATGCAAGAGAGCTCTGTACAGAGACCCACGAGATTGCTAGAAAACTTCATGACTTGGGCAACCTCTCCAAGCCTTAACTCCTCATCTGTAGAAAGGGGGGAATATTTTATGTTTCTTCATGAGGATAAAATGAGATACATGAAGAGCGATTTGTGTAGTATAAAAGCTATACAAATGCTATTCATAGTATTTAAATTTCTCCAGGTTAATTTGAATGTTTCTTTCCCTTAATCCCTCTGACATATATAGGAGAACATATAATTTAACAGTTAGATGCTGTTAATTATTTCACACATTATTGTTTCTCCAGCCAGGCTATAAGCTATTAGAGTGCATTCCATACTTCTCTGAAGCTCTAATTTTGTCTAATAAGACATTAGGTACCCAGTAGGGACTTGGTTAATACTTGTGAATTGAATTGATTCCTTAATATTACTGGAGTGTCTGGCACTGTGTCATGTGCTGGTCAAGAAAGTGGAAGTTACTAGTATTTATTTTACGAAATGGGAAAACTGAGAAACAGATCATTTCATTTATAGATAATTACTATTCATCCTCATGATCATAATTCTCATTCTCTGACCGGTTTAACTTTTATTTCATATTTTGGTATTTGCCACCTTTAAGACTTTTCCATATAGAATAAATGTTGGCCAAGGGGAGAAAATGTTTATACCTGGGTGCAGTATTCAATCCTCTCCAAAATTATGGCAAAGTTGGGCCTGTCTTCAGGCTGATGTTGCCAGCATTGAGTCATTATCCTGTATCTAAAAGAATAAGCACATTTATTAAAATCAGGAGCAGCACAAGGATGAAAAATACATTTCTTCCAGCACTTTTCTAAATGGGACCAGGGGTGCCACAAACATCTTTGAGGGTGGTAACTCATTGAGGTCCCATGTAGTTGGCATATGCTGCCCCCTGCTGATGTGCCAAGGAATACTGCCCAGGTGTAAAGGTATGTACCAAAGATCACTAACATAGCCACCCTAGTATTTACATTAAATATAGCTCCTTTCATTCCATTCCTGAATTAAAGCCACTCTGGGACAGGATCTTGTAATTATATTTCCCATCTGCCTTGCTTGTGGGAAGGAGGTGAGGAATGCCAGACAGGGCAGCAGAAAATGTAGGGAATGGATATATTTAAGGGAGACTCAGACATATGGTGCTGGGCAGCAGGCATTAAGTCTGGGACACAAATTCTTAGGAGGTGCTTGAGGATTGTAGACCTGGTGAGTAATAGCCTCCAGGCAGACAACAGATACCTTTTCTGGGATGGCATTATTACTTTTGAGGGGCTGGAACACTAACCCATCTCATTGAAGTCACAGATGCATTCCTATCTTGGGGCGTATTAAAAGGGTAGCCATCCACCCCTTCATCTTAAAACAAAGAAGCATATGTAGTTCCAGGTATTTTTTGAAAAGAAAAATTGTGTGTGATAACTAGTGGAAATGTTTCTGAAAGAGTCATACACAGGCCCAGGGCAGTTCTTAGGTGGATCCATCCGTCCTCCACTGGTGACGAACTCCAAAACTTCCTGGTTGCTTTTGCTAGGGTATGGCATATATCCAAGAGAAAATATTTCCCACAGCAGCACTCCAAAGGACCTGGGCACAGGACAGAAGATATGGATATGGGCACACACACACGCACACACAGACATTGTGAAATTTTAATCTTTTTTTCATTGTAACTTTTTCCATAATAGAGAACTCTTAAAGTGCAGAAAAATAAAAAGAATGAGAAGGTACCACATGTGATGCTCCATTAAAAGATAGCCACTGTTAACATTTTTTCAGTCAAGTTTCTGTGTTTAGATTATTTTTTACACAATAGCAGTTATAGTCAATATACAATTTTGAACCTTGATTTTTTGCACATTGCATTATTGCATAAACATTTCCATGCTAATACATTATATAAACAGAATTCAAAATGGCTGTAAAACATTCCCTTGAATAGTTGTGCCATAATTTGCCTTATCATTTCCACATTGTTTTCAATTTTCTAAATATTTAAAACACTGTGAACATTTTTTGTGCATTTTTAAAAAGGATATTTCTATAGTATAAATTTTTCAAATTACTAGATTAGGATAATCTAGTTAAATCTAGGATAATTCTAGTAGAATAACTAGAGCAAAAGAATGCATATTTAGAAATACTTGGTACAGGTTGTCAATTTGATTTTCAAATATGTCACTCTGTTCATCTAGCAGCATCTGTACCTCTCACCATATACTAAAATGAACTCAAAACGTATTAAAGAATTAAATGTACATCCTGAAATGATAAAACTTCTTAAAGAAAACATAGGAGAAACACTTCAGGAAGTAGGACTGGACGGGAAGGGAAGAAGACACAACAATTACAATTCCTTGAAGTTGATACAAGCAAACAGAAAGGACATTGTTGGGAGGGAAGGGGGAGAGGGAGGTAGGAGGGAGGTTTCGGTAATTGGCCACAATAATCAACCACATTGTATATTGACAAAATAAAATAAAATTAAAACAAACAAAAAACAAAGTTATTCACCTCATCATTAATAAGGTGTATGATTAATGGTCTGTGCCATTATTACCAGGCCTGCCCATTACTGGCAATGGACTTTGAGAAAACCCATTTCCTGGTGCCCAAAAGTTAAATTACTCTTTTCAAAACATACCAAACTTCCAATACATGCAGATGTATTACATGCACAATTTCCCCACCACTCTTTAAATCTAAACTAAATAAAATAAAATAAAATAAAAAATACTTGGTACAGGTTGTCAATTAGATTTTCAAATATGTCACTCTGTTCATCTATCAGCGTTGTGCGAGAGTGCAGCAGACCCTGTCACCAGCACTGAGTATTCTTATTCATAATGGGAACTTTTGCTGATTGATTTTAAGGCACAAAATGATGAAATATTCTAAACTATGTTTATTGATAATTAACATGACTGAATGTTTTTCCAAGTGTTAATTCATTTCAGTTTTCCTCCTATGACTTGTCTGCTCATATCTTTTGCCCATTTTCATCCACTCGGGCACATTGTTTTGATACCTATCAATTTTCTTTCTGATTTGTAGACACTTCATATAGCAGAGATGTTAACCTTTTATCAAAGTTTCAAATACTCTTATTAGTTGCTTTCTAGTTCTGTTTTTAGCATACCAAAGATTTTTATTTTTAGGTAGTCAAATCTATTTTTAAAAAAGTTTTATTTCCTCCATTTATTTTATAGTTATGCAATCTTCCCTTCACCAAAGATTAAAAAATATTTGCTATTTTCTTCTAACTGTCTTTGGTGTTCTCTCTTCTAAAATCCAGTTGGAATTTAATTTGTTGTATAGTGTGAGGTAAGGATCTAAATTAATTTGTTTTTCCAAAGAAACTACTCTTCAGACACTATTCATAAAACATTTTCCCCCTTACCTATTGACTTATGATTGAAAAGAGCTCTGTTTCTGGACTGTATTCTGTTTTACTTTTTGTGTATTTGTTTTAATATCTGGTGGGGCATTTTCTTTATTTCTCTCTTTTAAAAAAATGTATTCGGTTTCTCATCTGTTTTAAATGAAGTTCAAGATGATTTTTTATCATGTTCCAAAATAATCTCTCCCATGATATTTTTATTAAAATTTTACTTTAAACCCTTAATTTAATGATTACCTTTTTTTTTTTTCCTTTTTGTCTTTTTTACTGACCGGTAACGGGATTGCAACCCTCAGTGTCGCGCCCGTACCGGGGACCGGCAACGGGATCGCAATGATTACCTTTTTGACAATGAAAACCTATTTTTGTTTAAGTATCTGGTTGTAGTTTTCTGATGATAATAAATATTACCACAAAAATTGTAGAGAACTATAGCTCCTTCACATTCTAAGGGACATAAAATGCTTTTATTGTCATTATCTTGGTGAAATTTCAGAGACTCTGTGAGAAGAATTGGGCAAAGATATTGTCCATATTTTTCAGGTGAGAAGGTTGAAGCAGAGGTTGTTATACAGCTAACCCAAGCCAGAGTGGGATACATTACCAGATCCCTTGACTCTGCTACCTGAAAATTGCCTTGCACACACATTGCTCCTCTCTGGTGGCCTTTCTGCCCTCCGGGGCAAAACAAAACAGGCAAAATCAAATAAGCCAGAAACTGGCAGGAAAGCCTAAAGAATTACAGCTGTATGTTTTCTGCCTAGATAGGTAAATAGATTTAGAGCATAGTATCCTTTAAGAGAACTAGCACATAGACTGCAAATAGGTGTTTACTTTCTTGGTTTAGACTTCAAGGGAGCAAGAAGTAGTGTTGGTCATAGACCTTTGATAATTTCAGGTGAGTAGTGTTGTCATACTTGCAAATAACAATGCAGGACACCCAGTTAAATTTGAAGTCCAGATAAACAACAAATACTTTTTTTTAGTATAAGTGTGTCCCAAATATTGTATAGGCTATACTTATACTAAAAAAACTATTCACTGTGCATCTGAAATTCAGTTTAACTGGCCATTTTGTATTTTATCTAGAAACCCTATGGATAAGGTAAATCTATATTTGTATGCCAGATGGTTCTCCCACTACCTATAAACCTGTCCTAAATAGAAGCAACAACGCCTGAAGCTTTGCACCGAAGCATTCAAATTCAAATTCAAATGAAAACAAATATTTATAAAAATCCTACGCTGTTTGTAATAAGCTTGCTCTGCTTAAAATTATAGAGATAGCATGAGCTATTGCTGATTAAACTATTTTAAATATTTGAATCAATGAAGAGAACATAATCTGATGAAAAGTTTTTAAAATCACGAACTGTGCTGTATCGACTGTGCTTTGCTTTAAGAGCTGTTTTATTTTCCTTTTCTCATAATTTGAAGGTAGAAGATTGTCCCCAGGGGTGGTAGAGGGCAGGACATGCTCTTAGGAAAACCAGGAGCTGAAAATTAATGTAATAATACAGTAATTGAAATAACAACGATTTAAATGTCCAGCCAGCTGATCCCTCTGTCTCTCGCAGTTCTGTGAGCCTTCGATTTGATTCCTCTATCAGGAATCTTCACTGGCCTGCTCTAATAGGCCACTCAAGCATAGCATGTTCAAACAGAACTCTTCCCTCTCCCAAACCATCTCCTCCCTCATTCTTTCCCAACAGCGGCATCACTGCTCAGATGCGTGCTCAGTCCAAAAACCTAGGCATCGTCTTTGATTGCAGCCACCCCCTGCCCACGCCCCCCATCCAACATCCAGAAGTCCTGTTAACTCCAGTTTCAAGCTCGATCTTGAACCTGACCACTGTTTGCTAGCTCTATTGCCACCACTAAGCCAAGCCCCTCTCATCTCTCGCCAAGAAATGTGCAGTATTTTCCTAACTGGTTTCTATCCTCACTTGCCCTACTCTAGTCTATTTTCAGTGGCAGCCAGAGTGAGTTTTTATTTATTTATTTATTTATTTATTTATTTATTTTTTGTCTTTTTCCATGTCCGGCAACGGATCGCAACCCTCAGTGTCGCTCCCGCGCCTCGCTCAGCCAGCCAGCGGGAACCGTTCTGTATGTGGGATCCGAACCCTCGGTGGGAGCGCCACCACGTTCCCAAGCAGCGCACTATAGCAGTGTGCCACCGGGCTGGCCCAAAGAGTGAGTTTTTAAAAACAAAGATCAGGTCACACTCAGGCTTACAGCCCTTTGCTGGCATGGCCTTGTGCTTAGAAGGAAATCCACATCCCCTCACCTGAGCGCTAAGGCCCCCCACGCCCTGCCCCTGCCTGCAGCTTCCACCTCGGCCCCACTCGCCCTGCGCTCGCCCAGCTCCGCCGGGAACACTTGTTTCCCCCTCAGCAATCCTCAGGTAAGCTGGGCTTGCTCCTACCTCTGGCTCTTCACACTTGACTTTCCCTCTGCCTGGAAAGCCTTTCTCGCAGATCTTTCTACCGTCTGCTCTTTCTGACTTTCAGGTATTGAAACGTTAGGGGCCTGCCTTCTCCCTCTTTGCCAGAACAGCTACCCTCCGCTGCCCTCATCCCACACTCTGTCCCCTCTCTCTGCTCACAGCACTTACCAGCATCTGAAGTTCTGTTATTTATTTGTTTAAGCATTTTAATTATGAAACGATCTAAACTTTAAAAAGAAAAAGTGATCTCATAGATATCTATGTATCCAGATATTAATATTTTGCCTTATTTGTGATTTCCCTTTCTTTTTGAAGAAATAAAATACAGGTAAGCCCTGCCTCCATCCCTTCCTCTCCCTCGCTCCCCATCACTGAAGTTAGAATGTATCTTTTCCTTGTATGTTTTCACATTTCTTATTAATGTGTGAAACCATAAACAATAAAGAATCTATTTTATAGATTTGTTTTTAATATTGTAAAATTATACATAAATGATAGCCTACTCCTTTTTGTAACTTGCTTTTCCCCCCACTAAACATTGTTTTTGAGATTTATCCATGTTGATACACATAGGTTTAGTGTGTTTTTTTATACTGCTGAGTAGTTATCCATGATATAAGTAAACCACAGTGTACTTGTGTTTTTCTAACTTCTGCTTGAGGGATAGTTAGGTTGTTTCTGCTTTTTCTCTATTATAAACAATGTTATAAATGAACATCCTTGCCCAAATCTATTGTGTCAACGTTTCTCTAATGTAGACTCTTAAAAGTACAATTGGTGGGTGGTGGGCTATGCGCATACGTGTTCAGAACAATTGCTTAATTACTTGAATCAGTCTCTCTCTGGATACCTTAGGTTCCTTGTGCTCTAACTTTGGTGCGCATCAGAACCTGTGCTTGTTAAAATGCAGACTGATGGACCTGCCCCTACAGTTTCTGTTTCATTAGGCCTGAGCTGGGGCTGAGAATTTGCATTTCTAACAAGTTCCCAGGTGATGCTGATGCTGCCAATCCACGAACCACACTTTAAGACCCACCCAGGTTGTTAAAAACAACAAAGGCTCTTGCTCACCTTCTGCAATATGGGTCAGAAAGGGGCTCTGAGCACTGTGGCTGCAACATCCTATGACATTATCTCAGCTCAAGGCTTTCAGAATTTGGAGGACATTGCCCATTGTCTCTGGGCATTTCCTGTATTCCTAAGATATTCGATTCTTGAAATTTCATGATGAAGTGCTCTTGTGTGGCTCTTTTTCTCCATGGTGCTTGGCCCTTGGTGGATGCTTTCATTCTGGAAATTTATGCCTGCTCTGGGAAATCTTGAATTACTTTGATATTTTTATTCTCTTCATTTTCCCTGTTCTCCCTGGGACTCCTATTTTGTTAGCTAATTGAATCTATTGGTCTAATCCTGTTAATTTTATTTTTTCTTTCCTATATATTCCATGTTTTTGTAGTTGTCTTATTTTCTAGAAGATTTATTAACTCTATATTCCAACCTTTCTATTACTTTTACATTTCTGTCATCATATTTAAAAAAAAACTATTTTTTAGAACAATTCAAGTTGTGAAGAAATTGAGAATACAAAGTTCCCATATATTCAGTTCCTAGTAGTATTTTAAGCATTATGTTAGTATGGTGCACTTGTTAATATTAATGAACCAATATTAAGGTTTTATTAAGTAACATCCATACTTCATTCAGATTTAGTTAGTTTTTATTGAATTTCCATTTTCTATTCCAGAATCCCATTAGGATATCACATTACATTTAGTTGTCATGTTTTCTTAGGCCCCTCTTAACTGTGACAACTTCTCAGACTTTCCTTGTTTCTGATGATCTTGGCAGGTTTAAGAGTATTGGTCAGAGATTTTGTAGAATATTCCTCAATTGGGATTTGTCTGTTTTTCTCATGATTAGACTGTAGTTATGGGGTCTGGGGAGGAAGACCACGGAGAGAAAGTGCCATTTTTATCACATCACATCAAGGGTACATGCTATCAGCGTGACTTGTGACTGTGCGTGTGGACCTCAATCACCTGGCTGAGGCAGTGCTTGTGCTTGTCAGGTTTCTCTACTGTAAAGTTCCTCTTGTCCCCTCTTTCCTACCCCTGTACTCTTTGGAAGGAAGTTGCTATATACAGCCCATGCAGCCCATGCAGCCCATGCAGCCCATGCAGCCCATGCAGCCCATGCAGCCCATGCATGCTTCAGGGGAGTTACGCTCCATCTCCCAGAGGGCTCCTGCCATCATATTTGTATTTCCAAAAGCATTTTCCTGCTAAAAGTATTTTTCTAGATAACCTATTGTACTTCAGTTATGGTTGCAATAATTTTGTCTTTCTGAGGATATTATAGTTTTAAAAAACTTCTTCTAAGCTTTCTACATTTTTCTTGATCCAGGTTCCTTTTTATATGTTTGTTTTCTTTGGTTTAGAATCTTTACTCAAGGGTTTGTTGATTCTTGGCTGCCAGTTCCTATTTTACTAGGACATTGAAAAGCTGGTGGACGCTCTGTTTAAGTGAGGCTTGTCAGCTGGCAGGCAGCCAGCTCGGCTGTTTCATGGGTGTATTAGTCTCCTGTGACTGCTGTACCAAATCACCACACCCTTGGTGGCTTAAAACAATGTGAGTTCATCCTCTCACAGTTTTGAAGGCCAGACATCTGAAACTGGTATCATTGGGCTGAAATCAAGGTGCAGGGCTGGGCTCCCCTCAGAGGATGTAGGAGAGAATCTGTTCCTGGATTCCTTCAGCTCCTGGCAGCTGCTGGATTCCTTCCTTTGTGGTCGTGTCACTCCAATCTCTGCCTTTGTGGTCACACTGCCTCCTCCTCATCTGTGAGTGTATGATCTCCCCCTGCCTCTCTTTTATAAGGACACTTATGATGGCATTTAGGACCCACCCAAATAGCCCAGGATAACTACCTCACCTTAAGATCTTCAATTTAGTTACATCTGCAAAGACCCTCTTTTCTTATAAGGTAACAATTACAGGCTCCTGGGACTAGGACCTGATTCCTCTGGGTGGCCGTTATTCAGCCTACTTCCCTGGTGACCCCACTCATCAGTATCTGCAGTATTCTCTTCACTGGCCAGTTTCTCCAAAGAGGAATTCTCCAATCTCCTGCCTGCCTGCCAGTGTTCTTGGTGCTGAGGGGACAAAGGGAGCCATGCATCCTTAACTAGGTAGACTTTTTTTTTTCCTTTTTGTCTTTTTTACTGGCCGGCAACGGGATCGCAACCCTCGGTGTCGCGCCTGTACTGGGGACCAGCAACGGGATCGCAACCCTCAGTGTTGCGCCCGCACCACGCTCAGCCAGTGAGCGGGAACCGGTCACCACATGGGATCCGAACCCTCGGCGGGAGCGCCGCCGCGCTCCCAAGCGGTGCACTCTCCAGTGCGCCACCGGGCCGGCCCAACTAGGTAGACTTTTAAAAAAAATTCCCCCACCCTTGGTGAGGTCTTTGTCCCAAGACCAGAGAGTTGACTCTCAGAGGGAACTCTAGTCTTGTGCTGGTGATAGAGCAGGGACAGTAAGCAAGATTTGGGGGGTGATGGAATGGGCTAGAGGATTAAGTTACTTTTAAAATAGATCTTTAACAAATTTTTCTATTTTCTGCACCTCTACTTTCAATTTCTGAGCCTTTCTGGGGCTCTCAGGCAGAGTAAACCAGCCTGCTCCTGGACCTGGACTGTTGGTTTAGATACCAATTTCTAGTCTCCTCAATAAGGTACGCTTGTCTGTGAATGTCCCAATCTCCAAAACGTTGTCATCATCTTCTTTGTCCTTGTGGTGTTTAATGCAATTAAAAAGATTCCCTTTACTGGTGTGTGTGTGCATGTGTGCATACTTTATGAGGGCGCTTGGGTTCAATCTTTCATTTAAAATTACATGTGGCTCTCAATGTGTAGTCCCCCAGCCAGCAATGTCAGCCTCACTTGGGAACTTGTTAGAAATGCACATTCTCAGCCCAACCCCAGACCTTCTGAGTCATGAACTCTCAGGGTGGGGTCTAATAAATTGTGTTTTAACAAGGCTTTGCAATGATTTTGATATATGCCAACATTTGAGAACCACTATTGTGGGCGTATCGATGCTTCTCTTCTCCTTCCCCATGAACACAGGGTTTCCCTGCTGAGAGTGTAGAATCATTTGGCCCAAGAGCACCACCCTATGGCCACGATGGTACCTGGAGGAGTGTGGCAGAGAGACTTACCATGTGTCCGTTTTAGAAGTGAATATTCCCTCCATGAAGGCCTCCGGGGGCATCCACTTAACTGGCAGCATCGCACACCCTCCTTTTCTGTAGTAGCTTGCTCTGTGGGGAAGAAGAGGAAAAGCAAACATGGATCTGCAATGGCACTGAGACGCAGCTCTGTCAGGCAGCCTGAGAAAGCAGCAACAATATAGTCTACCCATGAAAGGACTGAAATGAATGAGGGCTCTGGTGGCTCAGGAGGAGAGCAGAGGAACACAGATCATTTAGGTAAGAACTTTGGTGTCATTTAATAGGAGACAAAACAGCCCACTAGAGGCATGAAAGAAAAGATCTAAGCAATGACTAAGATACCTGCTAGCAGATGTTTAGATTTCCCTGTTGGGTTTTTTTATTATAACTCACAATGAATAACATTACTCCAACCTTTTAAGTCCAGTGTACTTCTGATGATCTGCAGTAATGCAAGATCCAAACTGGGAGAACTGAGTGCAGGAGTTGTGTCTTATTCATTTTGGATCCTCCATGGCACTCACACATTTAGTTCAGTATTGGCACCCACCAAATAATCTAGACAGCTGGCTGGAAGCCACCTCCCACAACACATGCAGACAGGAGAACACTGGGTGAGGTATGGAGTTGGCTTCAAAGGCAGATGAATTAATCTATTAGTTTCTATCAGTAATGTCATCAATGCAACTCACTGATTAAAAACTAATAAATTGTGGAATATACTATAAAGCATATGTACTTCACAGGGCCTGGTTTTCCAAAGCCTTGCAGTTTCAAATATTGACCTTGCAGAGGACTGGAAATTTTCCTCAGGCTATAAAGTCTCTGGTATAAGATAAAGATTTGTGGCACAGCAAGCAAGGTTGCTGGCTCAAGGACAGGCTAGTTACTGATTGTTATGTAAAGATACTGAGAAATTGCTGTAAGATCATTTAATTGTCTACTGGAATGTCATCTGGCTTGTTTCACTGAAAGTTACCAGCCTATATTATTAATCTATAATCCCACCTATGTTCTATTCCTGTAACTTCCTGGCCTGGAAAATAAATGCAGGAAGAGAACCCCAATTCGGGGTTAATTTCCCAGATGGAAGGATGCCTTATGCTTGGGGGTCCTGGGATATTAACCCCTTTCTGGGGCTTCTCACTGCTCAAAAGAGATGGGCTTTGAGTAACCTTTGGTGGCTCTGTCACCTAGGGGAAAAAGGGTGACAAATCCGTGGGAGGCAAAGCAACAATAAATGAACTCATCCACGGTTGAAACCAATCCCACGTTTAGCCTGGTGTTCTCCTGTCTGGGTGTGTTATGGGAGGCAGCTTCCCACCAGCTGCCTACATTGATTGCTTGCTTCAGTGAACATGTACTGAGTATTCAGTCTGTACCAGGTGCTCAGCCATGTGCTGAGCATGTGAACACGTCATGGGCTGTCTCTCTGAGGATCCAGTTTAGTGGAGGAAGCAGACATGCATGAGTGCTGCACAGAACACTACGCCCAATGAGGAGATGTGTGTGGAGCTCACAGTGTGGATGGATGGACCCACTAGTTCTGCTTGGTGCAGGGGTGTGGTCCTGGGAAAGCTCCACTGGGGCCACTGAGGCAGCTGAGTGGCCACAGGGCTGTGCTGAAAGACTGCTCCTGACACGAAGCTGGGCAAGGTGTGCGGCTGCTGTGGGGCTATGGGTGAGTTGGGGTGCTGAGGCCAAGAGCTGGGGGTGGTCACAGCTGAGGGCAGCAGAGCGGTCGCAGGGGCTCGCTGTCAGGCCGTGGCCTTTGTCTCTTTGAAGGGGCACATAGTGGCAGATGGCGCTGGAAGGACCCTCACATGCAGCCTTCCATGTGCCGCTGCCCTGTGGTGACATGACGGCACCTGCAGTCTTCCTTCTGGAGATGGTTACTGGTTCTGGCAGAGGCCTTCAGGAGGTGTGGACAACCTTGCCATTCCCAGAGTGAAGGCACTACCCTGCCACCCACGCTGTGTCCCAGCCAAGGGAAGGCCTGATTAGTGACTTTCTCAGCACCTGCAGCAAGTTGCTGTTGCAAATAATTAGAAAAGAAGAAACTGGGAGTTGGGAATACAAGAGTGACAAAGTGCATTAGAAGTATTATTTTTTAAAATTTAAAAAATTTGATTTATTATTATTTATGTAGCCTGGAGAATATGAGTCAGAAAGACCCAAAGTTGCACTGAACGCCTGTGGGTCTGGAGCTGTGCTCTGAGTCTCCCAGGCTGGGTACCGCAGGATATCGCCGGATCTGTCAGTTCTTGGGTGCTCTGCCTGGTGTGACAGAAACCATGGCCATTCAGAGTTCCTGAGTGTTGAGAAGGGTTGGATAAGTTAAAGTTTCCTCTTAAGTGTTCTTCATCTCAAATATCCAAGTTATTCTGTGTCTCAGAACATGGCAGGATGAGAGTTGGAAGCAGAAAGATAACTTAATTAAGAACTTGGAGTCGATTATGGCAGGCTGTGTGATCCTAGAAGGAGACCTTCAGGTGTGGGCACTAACTAAGGTTTCCCATATCCTGAAAAGGAATTTCATGAAAATTCAGGCAGAAAGTCGCCAAGGTACCAGGAGATGATAGAAGATAGAGTAGCCATGTCCCCTCTACCTGCAAGGATGAAGTTGAGGAGACAGGCCTGGATGGAAGATGGCATCTCTGCTCACCTGTAGATGTCTCGGGCC